GCTTGATTTGGGTTCAGCGGCCCTAAAATGTTTCTCTTAGACTCTCATCATACTTGAGTATCCTTCCTGGGGGACAGTCCCTTTGATACCCCTGTAAAAGAGGGTTTCGCCGGATAGAAAAGGACACCACTCAGACTATCATGAGTCAGCTTGTCAAGTTAGGCCCTGTTGTTTCTAGAACTATGGGAAAAGTTAGCTAAATACTACACATAAAACTTCAAGCTGAATTAATATAGAACTTAACTTGATAATTAACATCATTAAAAAAGTTTATTCTACCGAGAAACAATGATAAAGCAAGAGAGAATTTAAACTATTTTCTAATAAGTGATATGATGATTAATGTCACAGTATTTGATTTATTTCTAAGTTGTTGTTGTTCATTTAGACCAAAGCAGTGAATCAAACATCTGATTCCAGCGTTATAAATCCGTAACATTACTGCTGATCCACCGGAGGACATTTCTCACCTACCCAGCGTTAGGTGTTTTGGGGTTCAATATGTAACGGTGACTTAGTAGGTCCTCAATATCCTGAAGTAAGCTGAGCATTCATCAGTTAAAATCTTTGATCTAGTCGTTTTCTGTGAGTTCTCACACAAGTGTACAATAGAAAATTCTACGGGTTGATTTTTATAAACTTTGAGTTTCGAGTAAGCTACGCCAATTTTACTAACAGGAAAAAAGCCAAGTGTGCTTTTTATATAGGGTACATTTGCAAATTCTGCGTACAGAATGAAAAACAACTTTTAAATCATGTTCTAGACAGGATACATGTGCGTTTTCATGTATCCTTTTAACGATAGGGAGAACGTTTTGAGTATCCCAGGATCATTACGGGATTATTTAAACTGGCAAAAGTTTGAAAATTAATAATAAAACTTTGAAACCTTGTTTATGATGCGCATATTTTACTCTTTTGGAAGATTAAAGAAAATTAATTCACAGCTGGAAGTTTTTAAGTCAAATTAAAATATCCATTCTTAAATTTCAGTTATTTTGTATGCAATTATTCAACGAAACCAAGATTGTTTAAATATTGTTATTGGTAGTCCTTAAAATCCATTACACAAACTTTAATCATAAAATGTTGTTATGTTGGTGTTGAGATTATTATAGCTCATTTCACACATTGACTTTTGATTTGAAACCGTTAAGAATCTGCCCAAAAGGGCTGCCATCTAGCGGTGGATATATACATTAAGCTGTACTCAGACAGTAAGTATTATGTTGCAGACGTGTAGGAGTAAAAGTTGGTCCAGCTACAAATACCAAATTTTTTATAGTTTCAATAAATTTTACAACTTGGTGTGTACATGTGCAGCCAATAAAAGATGAGACAACCAAATAGTTTTTACATTCGGCATTCCTGCAGTCCATCATCCAGAAAAAAGTTCAGTGGCGCGACTTTGTATAAATACATTCAAACGATTTATAAACCTAAGGAAAACAAATTTTTAAAGTCAGTGAGTTGACGTTTTAGAAAATTTAAATATAACAAAAACAAAGCTTGAGCATTAAGTTTATAAGAAGTTTTATAGCTAACATTAAAGTTTCTAGGATAAAATGGTGAAAAATGAAATATAACTTTACGACTCTAATTCAGTTGATATCACTAACAGTTATGAATACAATGATCATTTTTGTAAAACGTATAACAAAATAAACAAACGTCATGTAATTACGGAGTAATCCAATAAAAATTGATAAACTAATAACATTGCTAGGTAAACTTAAAAGCCTCACGTAGTTATATGTGTTGTTCTTCGAACAATAAAATAAGTCGGTTTTCCGTATTATGCATATTGTTGTTTTATAACACTTTCTTGGACTTGGTGCCATATCAGAAAAGTAATAACAATACTTTAAGTAGCTTAGCCAAAGTGTACATTCTCAATTCAGAAGTGATTATTTCTATTAACTCTAATGATATAATTTTGTTTCACGCAATCCCTTTATCTTGAAACTAACTGAATTTCTTAACACAAAAGTTAATTTGCAAGAAGAATTGTTCACATTAATACGGCTTGCTCTTGACTTCTTAACACCCAAGAAAGAACTTGTCATCAATGTATGCTCGACTTCTTGCTACAGGAGTCAATCTCGGCCGCCGACAAACAATTTAATTATATTATTTCTCGTTCTGACGACGTTTTTTTACCCCATATAAGCCTAGAATATACGCAGATGTGTATAATATAGTTATGCAAAAAGAACAACAACAAAAAACAGGTTAGATAAGCTCAGAAGATTCTGAAAAATAAATATATGTATTTCGTTGTGTCGGGAAACCATTGTTGTCAACGTTCAATGAAGATTTCTGCCAGATAAGTGAAAAATTAACGTCATTTTGTAAAACTTCGTTAACTCAGATTTTTCTTTCTGTCATACGTTTAAACATACGATCTTATTAACCGCTGTCGGAGAATATCCTGCTTAGGCAAACGTTAATTATAAATCAATACTGAATTATCATGAAGATGTTAATAACTTAGTCATAAGAAACATAAGGATGATAACACATTTTTCATTTGGCTACATCATCAGCCAGGTTTCAAAATATGTAATGTTTGAACGTTCTCTAATATTTGTTGGAGAATTATCTAATAAGATTAAATTCTTTTTTTAATGTAATCAAAATTTGATACTTATGTCAAAATCCATATTCGAGGCTTCATAAAGTATAATAAAAAATAGAGAGAAAAAAATATATAGATTGGCAAACTCAAATATTAATAGCAGTATCTAGGTTGGGATAGTAAAAAAATAGTTTTTAATAGGAAATATTCTTGAAGTATAGCAAGAACTATCAGAACAAAGACAATAAATCAATTATTTTAACCAAGATAGAATACACAACACGACATATTGATTCTCAAGGTTTAAAGTATTCATATAAACTCTATGAAGTAAAACAAGAGAGATACAGTCGTAGTCTAAAACCGAAAATACATATTGTGAATATGATTATTTTAACATAACTTTCTTTCTCAAACTCTTCTTTAATTGGTATCTTGTGAGACATTATCTGCCATTGACAAAAAGTTGAAAGAAATGCCTTATTTATTAAAGTGTACACATTTCAATACATAGCACGTTTCTTTTGTAATTACTTCATAAATTCTACGTAATAATAACAATAATACCGCCTGCAATATCGTGCTTTTAGTTTCAAATCCATATAATTAATATTTCAACACAAACTAATCACGTGGTTCTAAAATATGTTCCAAAGTTTTCGTTCACGTGGTAAACAAGAACTAAAAAATTGGACTTGCACATGAATGGGTCCATACCACTTAACTCAGAAATAATCTTTTTTCAGATAATAAATTTTATGAATTTTACTTTAAACTTCATTGTATGCTCCTATAGATAAATTACTACACTTCCATATGATACAAATACTTGAAGGTTGCAAGTAGTAATAATTTAAAATACGTTTATTCAATGAACTTTATAAGATTTATTAAGATTAAAAACTGCCACAAACATGTATTTAAGAATAACTCACGTAATTAGAAAATTTTCGATATGTTTTTATAATCATGAACCATCATTTATATTAAGTATTTGGGGAAAAAATGCGCAGGCTACAAATACTTTACAGTGTAAGATTTTACACACAAATATCAATTGTGATGGAACATTAAAGAATGCCCTAAAATCTGTAACAGAACATGATCAATAAATTCGAGACTAATAATTATTTGTTATGAAACACAAAAAAATAGATAAAAAAAGTCTGAGTAAAACGACACATAAAAGCAGGAAGTTATCTAGCCATTGGTTAAATATATTATCTTCAAGACATGTCTACTTTTCTTTAACAGTATTATGAAACCTTAATGAAGGTTATTTAGCTGTTTTTTCCAGTGTTTTTAACTTTCTTTTTAATTTTTGAACAATCCTACAGAATCATCGAAGAAAGGAAGTTAATATATATACATTATTTCTCCAATATTTCTACTACTTTTTATTCTTGAACAACCCTATAAACTACTTGAAACACACAAAGCTACACAAAGGGGTATATGCTGTGTGACCTAAACGGGTATCGAGCCCCGATTTTTTAGTGGGGACACACCCCCTATAAAACCCTCAAGCAAGGATGAAAGGAATTGCTAAGATAAAGATATGATTAGGAACTCGAAGTATCATCCAAAAACTTCCTAGACAGATTCAGATAATAACAACGCCTCTCAAGTGTATTCTCTTCCACATAAAGCTTTTATCAAGCAAGAGGTCGAACAAGGTTATTTAGCTATTAATCAAATTTATTATTTTAACACCATTTCTATTTCTTTGCAGTTATATCAGTTCTGCATAAAGCTTAAAGAAGGTTATTTGGGTTCCAGATAAATATGTTATTTTCACGGCATTTCTAAGTTGCTTTTATTATTTTTGAAAAACCTTTTTAATGCACATATATTTCAACAACACACATGCATTTTTTAAAGTAAATTGATAAATACATATATTACAGGGTCAGTAACACATTAATGCATATATAATTCCTAATTTTCTTATGATCCTTAAAATTTAACTTTCAAAATTTTTAAGATTTTTCAGGGAAAATTATTTAAATTGCTAAACAAATGAAAACTACTTCTACAGCAATACGGTAACAAGCTATAGTTTATGCTGCCATCTGTTGCTGGTAATATCAAACAAGGAAGGTAATTAGAAAAGAGGATTAGCTAAACAAAATATTTTTTTTTATTGCAAATATCGCGACCTGATAGATACATATAAATTACTTATTCGGTTAAAATCACAATCGCAAATTTATAAGTAATAACTTATATTTTCATGCTTGGGAATATATTTTCAAAATAAATCGACTCTCTTAAGTAAAACTGTAGTTATTAGTGACGATATATTTTAAACATATTGACTAAATATGATAACTAATTTTAATTAAAATATGTTTAATTTTTTGAAAGTATTTACTACTATTATTCATTTAAACAAAACAATAATAGTAGCTATATGGTTAAATGTCTATAATATTTAGAAAGGAAATTATTGTATCATTTTTCTTACTCTTAGAAAATATTTTAAAATAATGACGATACTAGAACAACTTCTTTAAGATAACATAGGGAGTCAGAAAAAGTAAAACTTGACATTTAGACATCATGTTTCAAATACTTATTAAGAGAATCCAAAGTTTAATGTACAGGAATACCCCTGTCCAGTAGAATACAATCTGAAAACCTTTGTTTGAGTCTTGTCGTTCCAGTAACAAAATGGCGTTGGTTTCGTTGGTTGGGATCTCCCGATTGCAGTATGGAATGTCACAGCAAGAAATACACTTCTGCCGGTAAAGAAACATATTAAATTATATTCATGCGCCAAAGTATTTTGTATTTGATAAAATATAAATAATTGATGTGTGTTGTAAAATAAATAAATTATTTACCCAACTAAATAAGTTTGTCAGCTTCTCAATTTTACAAACATCGAAATCTAATAAAAATTAGTTTAAAAAATATAAAATAAATTTCCTAATTAGACGTTTTCTAAAACCGTTTTCTAGACTTAAGAGTGTTTATTACTATATTTTATATTTTCAAGAGTTTCTTTCTTTAAGTGCAAAGATACACAATGCGCTCTGTCCACCACGAGGAATCGAGTCCCAGATTTTAGCGTTGTAAGTACGTGAACTTACAGCCGGTCCACCAGGGGACGTTTTTTTCAACAGAGAGTTTTATTTTTAAATTAAATAAAGCATATTGGAATATCTTTTATGAACCCTGAAAACATATTTGAGTTTGATTCAGCTAACGATCAAAAGAGCATGTCTAACAGTTAAAATATTACAAATAAGATTCGTTCTGGGTCTAGGAAGAATTTCCAATTGGAACATAATACCTAATAGATTAGTCTAAGTAAAAACAAAATGTATTTATTTGAATTTTAGAAAGTCTAGATAAGTTTGACTACATTTTTAAAGAAGATCTAAAGTATTTTCTATTAAAAACAGTAAATTATAATTTTTTTGGAAGTGATCACTTTATAAAAACATTTATGTTTTCTAATTAGTTATTTTTTAAAAATGTAATTAGAAAGAAGTGTATAGAATTACCATGTTAATAGGATGATTTGCTAAAAGATAGCAACCAACTGTCCTGTGATTGCATTGTTCTTTAGTAGCACAACTTTTAGATAACAAGGTTGTCTCTCCATATTCATCCATGATATGTTTGGTGTAACACAAAGTTTGGTCTGAAAATAAACAAACTAACTCATTATCTTTTATCAACTACCATATTATTTATGGGGTTATGCGTCCTTGTTATGTCACCATACAGTATCGAAATCTTTAATATGTATATAACTACCATATTGTTTTATCTTTTCTAAATATTGGCTACCATTATCTTCGTGTTGTTCAAAATAGTTGTAATTATTTTACTCTCAAGTATTTGATCATTAATTTACAGCCACTACACAAATTATTGTAAATTTACTAAAACGATTTATTTGAGAATGTGTTCTTATTGGATGTTTGAATAGCTCTAATTTCAATTATATTTATTTATAAGATATTTTTTTATTTTAAACATTTTCCTAAACACATCTATGTTACTAACCTATACACTAGATCTAAACTCACTGGCGCCATCACATGAATATTGGAAAGTACTGTACCAAAACATACGTTCAAGGTGGAAAATTGTAATTTGTCTTATGAATTAAAATAAGATATTTTAAATTGTATAATAGATATATTTTCCTTTCTAATTTCATCAAAATTAACTTTAAACAATTTTTGATATTTAAGAAGAAGAAAATAATGTCCAAGTAATAGGCTGGTGACCATATGACAAAATATGTGTTTTTTGTCATCCTTCCCATGGTAGAACAAATGACATGCCCAATTATTCATAAGATGGTTATATATTTATAAAAGGTAGTCAATATATGTTCGTGAGTATATTTTAAAACTATCCAAACCCTTAAAACAATAAGCTACGGGATTTTATAGAAGTGGTTATACTTGACATAATTATTGCAGAATTTCTTTCTTTTTCTTTGAACGAAAATCATACGCACCAATTCACGCTGTAAAATTGCCTATTATATTCCAGGTTTATGGGAATATTTGAATTGTGATCGTAAAATGATCACGTAAAGTGATTCGATTCTGGTGAAAGAACTTTGTGATTAATGTGTGTTTTGAATAGAAGTCGTTAATATTCTTATAAAATGTTTAATCCCTTCAATAGTTCAGGGATTAAGCCATGTACTTCAAAATTTTTTCTGTTATATTGCTGGCGATGGTTTGATTGAGTTGGTGATGCAGTGAAACAATGGTTCTTCTCTCAGATCATTCATTTTTTTATTGAGTGGTTAACTCCTTCAATAATTCACCAATTAATCCCTGTTCTTCAGTAAATATTTCATTTTTATAGTTGGTGATGGTTTGTGTGAGTTGGGGACAGAGTAAAATAATGGACCTTCATTTAAAGTCGCCAGCAAAGAGGACTAGGACGGTGGATGGTTAACATTGTATTATTTGTTTGAAGTCCGTAACCAAAGACAACCGTATGAATCTAATCATTGAAAACATAACACAAGGTGGACTACTTTCTCTTTTGAATTCAGCTGAAGTTCGCAAGATAAAATTTATTAATTTTTTGGTCAGTGAAAGATAATATTTTGAATCTTTAGTGCAAAGTCTTGTTCTACAAACGTTGTAGGGCAAAATACACCAAAAATACACAGCCTGCGATTAATCAAAAACAAGCATCAAATAACCTCTGACATCTCATAGGCGGACGAACGAGGTTTCCACCTGGTGGGGGAAGGTTAACGCCTGTTAGTAATTGTATAGCTGCTATACACTATTTGCTAACGTTTTACCATGTATTATAGGAATTATCATTTAAAACATATAAATTACAAATTTATTGGGGCTCATACTCCCTGATTTCCATAGATTTATCATGTGCAGATCTCGACTCGCATGCACTTAAGACCCCCAGGTAACTTTTGTTTCCCCCTCCTATGCTTCTCGGTACCCACTACCAGTCAGGCATATGTTCCTGAGCCTCACAGATTTAACAGGGCAGTTACTGAAAGCCTTAGCATACCTAAACTCTGATGGTGATAAGAAAAATATAGTCCTGCGCCGTAACAGCTGGTGAGAAAAGACTTGATGATGAGATAAGTTTGTTCCAATGTCTTGATCTATCTGAATTTAATGCCAAGTACCGTAGAATATGCTATTCTCATTATGTAACGGAAATATATATATATAATCTGCACAAATGAATTAGAGCTCGAGCATGTCGATAAGTCTACAGTAGCTGTCTTAATAAGCCTACAGTAGCTGTCTTGGTAAGTCTACAGTAGCTGTCTTGGTAAGTCTACAGTCGCTCTCTTGGTAAGTCTACAGTAGCTGTCTTGATAAGTCTACAGTAGCTGTCCTGATAAGTCTGCAGTAGCTGTCTTGATAAGTCTACAAGACACAAGATCATGCCTGACTAGAATGCGACTAATGGCTGGATTTCGATTATTGTCTTTGGTTAAATATTCCAAACAAATGATGCAGTGTTGGTCATCCACTGTCCTAATACTCTTTGCTGGCGACTTTAAATGAAGGTCCATTATTTTACTCTGTCCCCAACTCACAAAACCATCACCAACTATAAAAATGAAATATTTACTGAAGAGCAGGGATTAATTGGTGAATTATTAAAGGAGTTAACCACTCAATAAAAAATATAACTTTTACAATAAAAGATATTACTTCCATTTAAAACACACATTAACCAACAAGGTCTTTCTTCAAAACCGGATCACTTTAACGGATCATTTTATGAACACAATTCGAACATTTCAACAAACCAAACTTGGAATGTTAACAACTACACACCATATGTATGATTTCCACTTGACCATCATTGTGTCATGTACTCCCATTTCTATAAATCCCGTAGTTTATTATTTTAAAAGTTAGGGTATTTGTTAAATATGCTTACATGGGTCAAAATACGTTGTAATTGGTTCTACTGTGGGATTGTTTGTTTTGAATTTTGCGCAAAGCTGCACGAGGGATATCTGCGCTAGCCGTCCCTAATTTAGCAGTGCAAGACTAGAGAGAAGTCAGCTAGTCATCACCACCCACCGCCAACTCTTGTGATACTATTTTACCAACGAATAGTGGGATTGACCTTCACATTATAACGCCCCACGGCTAAAAGGGCGAGCATGTTTGGTGTGACGGGGATTCGAACCCGCGACCCTCAGATTGCGAGTCGAGCGCCCTAACCACCTGGCCATGTCGGGCCTCTACTGTGGAAAGGAGTAGCTTCCCTTTTTTTGTCAGATGGCTGCTATTCTTTAAGTTATTTTTAGAAAGCAAAACTATTGCTTTATTAATATCTTATTATTATTAATAACGTTACATTTCTCAAGGTATTTATAGAAACTCTAGCATTGTAAACTGAGCTACAGTAGTTACTTCTACACAATATCAAGATGTACGTTTTGTTTGTTGAAATTCGCGCAAAACTACTCGAGGGCCATCTTCCATAACGCTCCTAATGTTGAACTGATAGGCTAAAGGGAAAGCAGCTAGTCAACACAACCACCACCAACTCTTTCTCTACTTTTACCAACGAATAGTAGGATTGGCCGTGACATTATAACGACGTCACAACTAAAGATCGAGCATGTTTGGTGAAAGGATTTGATTCCGCAACCCACAGATTACGAGTCCGGTGCCATAGCCACCAGGCCATGCCAGGCTTTAGAACTTATACTTTTGACATTTAGTTATTAGAATGTCCTCTAGTTTTCGCCACATTGGGAATTTCAACTATTCCTATTATGTTAAAAATAATTTTCATCGTAGGTTGTGATACCTGAAAATACTAGCAAGAGCTAGGCATAAAGGATTAAACCTAATGAAAGAACTATAAGCACACAACCATTTCTAATGAAATAACTAAACGCACACAACCGTTCATAATGAAAGAACTTTGAGCAGACAACCGTTCATAATTTAATAACTAAACGCACACAACCGTTCATAATGAAAGAACTTTGAGCAGACAACCGTTCATAATGGAATAACTATGAGCACACAACCGCTCATAATGAAAGAACTTTGAACAGACAACCGTTCATAATGGAAGTATTATGAGCACACAATCGCTCTTAATGAAAGTCTAACCGACTATGAAGATTTTAACCGTTAGTTTCTTAAAATACAAAATCATATAGCAATGACATAAATTAGCGTGTTCAGCACATCTCAAATGTATCAATACGGTAAAGGTGCTGCTCACATCTCTCTATAAAATTGTCAATCTACTTTGTATCCTAACATTAGTTGAAACGAATGTTACTTGGAAATACAGGTTTGTTAAAAATGACTTATTAACCTGTAAATAGAAAGATAAGTTACCCTAAAATTGTCTTCGTCATTACCACTAAATTTTTATTGACAATATTGAGGTTTCAATCTACATTTTACGCCCTCAACTTATTTATTGTTTAAGTTCCATACTAAAGAAAATGTTTTGAAGAAGTTATAATTTTCTCCTTACACCAGAATGAAACTAAACACCTTGAGAAGAAAGAAAACCAGCAGTTTGTTTTCATTTAGAAATATTTCAATTACCTCCAAGACAAATTCAAAGTATGGTCAATCACCGTTCACAAAAACGTTTATATATTACCTTTTAAATATAACGAGTTAGGTCTAAGTTATTACTCTGACCCTGAAGGGGGGGGGGCGAAGGTATTGCAATCGGGTCCATGTGTGTGTGTGTGTCTGTCTGTTTGTATTTTCGCGCACGTATGGCAAAAACTGATAGACCAATGTACATGAAAATGTTACGCAAGACGAGAAGTCAAATTTTGGCCGGATCCAAGTCCGGATCATTTTAAAGCATTATTTTATAAAGGGGAGATAGGGCATTTTCGCGGTTTTGTGTTAATAAAGTATGATCGGACTTGTACCAGATTTCATGAGCACATTAAGGTTGACACTCCTCATCACAATACAAAAAATCACCGGATCGTTGATCACTCTTTATCTGAGAAAGATTTTCTGAGTTTTCGAAAGTGAAATTTGACGTTGTCCAATATAAACGCATACAATCTCGAAAAGGAGCAGCGTGGCGAAGGTATGTTTTTATTATGATTACAAGGTCAAAATCAATTGCCATAACAGTAGAATATTTCCAAATCTTTTTGTGATAGGTTACATTCTTCCAAGTTATGTCACAGTGAAGGAAATAGAATGTTATCAGTGTTCATGACGTATATACATCAATTGACTGCAATGGGAAATCTGTGGTGGGTTTTATTGCTCTTTGGCCAAAAATCGATAAACACTATCCACAGGGGTATTTTTTGCTTCTTTCCTTCGGACAAAGCAAAGCATGTGAATACACAAAAAAAAAGACATTTTTTATATAAATATATAGTAATACAATAAAAATGTTGTTTTACGATGAAATATTCCAACCGAGAAATTCTTAAGCTTCACTTCTTTGACGTCCAGTCAACAGTAGAAAAGTTCTTAACACAAACTTCCAGGGCGAAGTGGTTCAACTTTGATAAGAGTGGTACAAAATATACATTTTAAAAGCTTACCTAAAAAATTATTTTTGATGTACTGATGTCAGAATTTTACATAAAACTGTTTTATATATATATATATTTATTTACAATATTGATGTCTCCCACAGAATCGATTGGCTAGTTTTGCTGCAGATTAAAATATTTATAATTCAAGAAACTCTGAGCTATTACACAGAAAGTATTATTTTTCGGTGAGCAGAGTTTAATTTTCATTAAAAAGCGGTGCGTTAGACTTTCATATTAGAACGGGACATTTAGAAACATTGAATCATCGTCTGTAGCATATTTTTTATTACTTTGGAAACAATATCCATATAAGGCGTGCGATTATCAGTCAAATGTAGGTTGCATGTCCAATATTGTCCAATAAATAATTTACAATAAACAAAATCTCTCACACCATATTGTCCAATAAATAATTTACAATAAACACAATCTCTCACACCATATTGTCCAACAAATAATTTACAATAAACACAATCCCTCACATCTTGGACGTACTTATACTTCCTGTTACCAAGGAAATCTCTTAAAACTATATAATTATCGCTAAAATATCGTACAATTATCTTTGCCCCACGATGGCTCAGCAGTAAGTATGAGGGCAACTTATAAACACTAGCAACTAAGTTTCGATACCCACGATTGGCATAGCACAGATAGCCCTTTGTGTAGCTTTGTGTTTAAAACAAACAAACAATTAACTTTCAGGCTAACATATCAAACATTTACAAAAACAGTTTTACATTATATTTCAATGGATGCTTCTTATTACCTGGGAAACAAGGCCTATCGACAGCGTATCTATTACAATCAAAGTTGGTTGTCTTGTTAGAACAAGTGTAACACGTTATTTCTGAAAATAGAAAATTTGTATATTTCATCATTATGTACAGAAGTGGCATAATTTCAAAATATCCAGTCTTCATAGGTATAGAATATACTGAGTTATTTGATGTTGAATCTACAATCAGTATGATGTGATTCAATCTATACATAGTATTCATAGTTAAAGGAATTAATGAATTAATTGACATCCAATCTCAAATCAGTATGATATGATGCAATCTATACTTAGTATTCATAGTTACAGAATTTACTGAGTTATTTGATGTTGAATCCACAATCAGTATGATGTGATGCAAACTTTAACATCTGAAAAGAAAACCTGTGTTTAGCAAATGTCTTGGAAGTACATATTTCATACTCCAGGTAAATTTCTGATTATTGTATCTTTTTACTGTATTCCGGAAATATTGTACTTGACAGTAAGCTTGCTTTAGAGCGTCTATATGCTCTTTCTCTGATTAAATAGCAACGACGACATAAACAGCTACATCAGATTTTGTAACACAGACTGTTTTAGAACGTTGTTAATACAAAAGTGTAATAAAAGTTTTAAAGGATCAGAATATCTAACAACTAAGTTCTACATTAACATGTTACCTTGTGAGACACTTCCTACATGCTGAATTGGTGCAATAAAACAGCTAAACCACCACACCGACAAAAAAAGGTTTAGCAAATCCATGTTCCCTGTTATACCCGGAATCTATGGACCTTTACAAAGTCGTTGCTGAGGAAGAGAGTAATGAGCTCTTTACTGTCGGAGACTTTTATTGTAAGTCATTGTGACCCTCTTAGAAACACCCATATCTTCCGATTTCTAGCTCCTGTAAGAGACAATGAAGAATGTGATTAATCTATGATTTCCAAACCTAAAGAGGGGGGGAACTAACATTGATTTTGTATTTTCCTATGGAATGTTTTATTTTTTAATTGGAATATTTTAGAGAAAAGCTTAATGGATTTAAATGTACGTAATAGGATATGCACGTTTTCTTTGTGATGTTAAAAAGAGATAACCAGACAACTTCGAAATGGATCTTTGTTAGATCTCTTAGAGTTAATCTAAAGCTCTCAATGAATAACAGAATTTCTAACTTATTTTACACTTTGTTATATTTATCAAAATAATAAGCAAACACATTAACACACACATATATATAATCCTTAACCATCATGTTTTATATAACACTAAATTGTTATGTTCCATTTATCTTTAAGATCATTCTTATAGCAATGTATTTTCTTTTTCCAATAGGATACTTTCATGTATGACTGACGTTTGGTGTTAGCATCTGAATTGATTTTGTTCCCTACTAGTGAGATTTATGACGCAACTTCTGATTTTTCCATTACAATAACCATGGATATTTATCAGTCAGTTGAAACAACTGATAAACGAAAATCCGACCATGGTCCACTAGATAAGAAGCCTGGGGAACTTATTGCTCAGTTGCTTTTTTTTTTCCCTGAGTAGAAAAGGTCCGTCAAAGTTATTTAGAATCCTTTGATATTCGATTCAGCACGGAGCCAAATTTTACAATAAAGAATGTTAGAGCCCTTCATCCTTCAGTGTTTAAGTCCTATAGACTGAATATCTTAACATCTTTTTCATCTGTAATGGGAAATATTTTAAATAACTGAAAAGGCTCGTACTTTTAGATGTATACATCATGGTAAAATATAGCATTTAACGTAACAAGATCTAACATCGAACAAAAGGAAAAATGTGTTAAAGTTCCGTTTGCACACAAAACAACATCATCATTTTTTACATCTAGCAAACAAATTCTAACATATTAGAAATTGTATTCTATAATAAATTACTTGTCAATTTAAAAGAAGAAAGTTTTAATATAGCAAGAAAATACTTAGTGCTACACAATAAACATAATTAAGAAAGTTTTTTGCGCGCTAGACTAGCCAGCCCGTCAGTGGCTCAGCAGTAAGTTTGACAACCTATAACGCTAACCATCTGAGTTCGATCCCCGCGGCACAGGGCAGATGGCTCTTTTGCAGCTTTGCCCTAAAAGCAAAGAGAAACACTGGATATTGCTACTTTTATTTACACTTCGATTTGGTATACAATTCAGATATATCAAATCAACCTGATTTACACGTGAAGCTTTCAGCACTCAATAACAACATTTTTAGCATTCAGATAGATACTAAATTATATTAAGCAAATAGAACCCCGTATCCTGATTAAGATAACTTGCGGCCTTCTAAGTCATTTAATCTGACCTTATTTAGTTGCAACTACTGTCCAGGAGACTCAGAATATATTCAACTATTTCGTTATAAATCATGATTTTACAAGAATGATATATTTTGAATGATGACATTAAACATAAGATTAAAGCAAAAGTATTGTGGCAAATGTGAAGGATTTTACACCTAAGGATCATGCAATTAGTATGAAAAGCTTGCTCGTAAAGGTATTGCGATTTCTGAATTGTACCTGCAGTGGAAATAAAACACGTGAGAATTCATGTATAATTGCTTTCTAGTTTTTAGGGTTATATTTACAGTCTGGTAATAAACTATATGAAAACAATATTTAACATTTTCACACCGTATAGAGAGACTTTTATATTTCACTATTAGGATATGATATATCATTGTAAAAAAATATCGTTAACAGTGAGGATATCCAACTGATGCATTCTAATCTTTACAAGTAGGAACTTAAAAAAAATATATATTTAATCAGCTATACTGATTGCCAGGTTGATTTTTAGTTTGGCTCTAAGTCTATGCCTGATCAGATGTTAATGCTAATTAATAAATAATAAGGTCAACACGCAGTTGTTTGATTAGCATAAATTGAAAACGCTCAAAAGAGATGACTTAAAGCAGGGCATTTGTTTTAGTACAGTTATACAAGTAGTTCGCTTTATAATATGTACACTCTGATAAATTTAGAATAAAGATCTTAGAATGTAGGTTTGACATTACCAAGTTCACTCACAAAGAAGAATTTTCTCATATGGCTAAAACATTCTAACCACAAGCCACACTAGCCTATGTTAGTAGAAAATTTCGCACGAGTTTAATTTTCTCTGGAATTCCTGAGAGCCAATAAACACTTGTACACTGTCTCAAACACCCACCTCCATTATATCCGTTTTTATACATTTAGCTGATCCTACCATCCGTCAAGTCAAGTTCTGTTGAACTTAATTTTACGCTTTAGTCACTTTCTAGTAAGCCTCACACTGTTATTGGACAACGAGAATTTAAACAAAATGATATTAGGGCCTACTGAACGTCTGCTTTTTATCTATCACGCTATGTAGTCAATTAGATCGTAACATGTGTTGTAACATATGGTGCATATCCTTATATCAAGCCTTTTTTTTTCTTTTGAATCCGACGACCACAATTAATATTCACTAATGATTTATGGTTGAATATCTTATCATATCAACTTCTACCCCTTTGTTTTTAGGTTTTAAATGATATATTGAAAACAGATTAAACTGTCAGTTATGTTTATATTACTGTATTGTTCATTAGGCGTGATTTATTATACGAGAAAAATTCAAAACCAAGAAAATATTGTGTTCTGTGTTGTCTTGATAAACTAAAGCTTAGCTGTCTAACTTCTACTTGGGGAAGTATGTTTTTTGTTTGTTTTTTACTGGACGTTTCGACGTAAATTACATAAATGAATTTGAGTAAAGTTTTTATAGCGTTCAGTGACTATAGGTGAGTAAACATTCGTTACTTGGCATTGCTATTTAGTTTCATAAATTTACGTATTATAGCAAATATGAGGTTATATTACTTTATTTGTTGGTTTAGTGCAACTTTGGAGAAGATAAGAATTTTTGAGAAGAAGAATGCGTATATCAGACAATACGTCCCCCTTGTAGTGTTATATCAGACAATACGTCCCCCTTGTAGCGTTATCTTGTAATGAAACGCTGCTTAGCTCATACAGAAATATCTAATGGAGAAAAAGAAAGCCAAACTGGTGTTTTACTCTTTCTGAGATAAGGGAGATATTCAACTACTATTGGCTGCTGATGAAGAAAAAAGAATGAAAAGACATTCAGACGTGAACAGAGCGTGAGTTACCCACGTTGCTTACCGCTCAGAGACATTCTTGAAACACTATATGAAATATATATATATATGTATATAATTTATCTATACTCACGCAGACACACAACAACACACATATATAAATGCAGGAAATGGAAATATATCTAGAAAGGTTGATAAAGAATGAGAACAAATAGATAAAAAGAAATTGCTAGACATCATTGAACCATATAAATGTGAGATATGGCCAATGAAAAAAGTAACAACCTGCATCACAAGCATGGAAACGTTAAGTACTGTGATGGAAGAAAGACGCAGCAAGACAAAACAAAAGAACACATACAAGACAAAAAATACACTAAATTATAATGTTTGATTTAGAAGAAAAAACGATTTAATTAGGAAATTAAAGTAAACTCTGTTATAAGAAAAAAAAATGCACAGTGTGAAAATATTTGCTGATTGGGATTCAGTTCATACTAATAAACATCAACCGTATTTTTTAAAACAAATATCAAGATCAAAAACGATTTCTTTGATAATGTTTATTACGCTAATTTGATCACATATCTTCTTGTAATTTAACTAGTTGCAAAGAAAACTTAAAATCTTACTATGTTTTAGTCTAATAACTATCAATGTAAAAACTGATTATTGCGAATTAAACTTAGTAGGACTATAAGGATTCTGCCTTGAGCTATCTTCTGTAAGAATGCAATTACAACAGTGTCTGTAGGCGATATAACAAGTAAATCCAGGGTATGTGCTATTCAACCTAAATTGAAATTATGCAGAATTCTGGAAGAGACAAGAAAACACAAGAGACACATTGGTGAATGCAACAAAAAGCCAGCACTAAAGCCCTTGGATGAGTGTCACATCATTGTATGATAACGTAATTTGTTGTCTTAATTTGGTTGCATTGTTGACTGCGAAGGATTTGCGGAAATTATTAAAGTGTTTTCCAGTAAACTTCTGGAAAGATGGCCGTAAAAAAACATTTTGTGGGTTTTATAGGGGAATTAGGCTGTATGTTCATGACAAGGAGACACTAAACATTGACTGCAAAACAACAGTGCTGAGAGAAACTGATGGAGACGACTTGTCGAGTAACTTCAGGCTTGATTGTTACGAAAAGTGCTGTGTTAAGAAGATAGATAGATAGACAGACATTAAAGTTTGTTAAGTAGATAGAATACACTATCCTACTTAGCATAACTTACAGACCCCTATCTCATCTGATCTGACTCAGGATACTTTGAATACCATTGTTCTGAACTTCATCTGATCTGACTCAGAATACTTTGAATACCACTGTTCTGAACTTCATCTGATCTGACTCAGGATACTGTGAATACCACTGTTCTGAGACTTACTAACAGTTCCTACTGAACTGCATATCCTGTAAAAAAAAGAGAACACATTTTTCAACAGGCTGACACAGTCCATATTTATTGTCTCCTCATCAATTTGTTTGGATGCCGATCTTTAACCCACAATCTCGGCCCTTGTTAAATGGTGACTTTCTTGTATATTACAATACATCTGTCTTTCTTGCACTTCTGAAAAGAAAAAACAAATAGAGTCGAAATGGTTTTATTAGTAATAACGTTTTCTACTAGTTTTAGTATTATACCGCCTAAGCTAGTAAGCATTGACCCTACGTTTACATAGTGTAACAAAAATTCTTATATCCTAATGATTAAAATCTTTAAGTCAAAATTTTCTTTGTGATACGGGTGTGAAAAGCTTTATTGAATGTTTCGAAAGAATAATA